TAAGCAATCACTAAAAATATTAGGCCAAGAAAGGTGGCAAGCTGAAAGTCTTCTTATACCCAACGTCTGGGAATGTACTAAGGCCATAATCAAATGCTAAGAATTATCACAACTACTATTACAGAGGACTTCAGACAAGGTGTCCAACTAAGTCGCCTTGACAACACAACCAAGTTGAGAATATCTGTCCAGACCACTTCTTTACAGCGAAAGGAGAATGTGACCAAAACAGAGGCCATATCATGGTCGTCATATCTATCGGCTAGCTCAGTGACGAGAATAATTTGAGTGATAGCAATTTATTTTATCAATTCTCATAAGCACAAAAGTTTAGAGCAAACAGCAGTAGCATCCTAGTTTCAAGCTATTGCATTTTTCCATGTTTATTAGGATATATACAAGGATTTACACCTGATATTATACCATGAAATTGCAAGTTGTAAACGAATTTTAAAAAAGTAAAAGAAGTATTGCCTTCATCTTAAACTTAGGGTGTAGCGAGATGATGATTCAATTGATGTATAAGCATATACATAAAAGCATTTAAAGTAAGAAGCAGCACTTAGCTTATCATACTAGAAAATATGACTGTTTATAACCTCGGATACTAACCAGAGAACCAGGCAAGATCAGCCCGAATAAACTCAGGACCCCCTCCTGGCACTAGATTCAGACGACAACTTATCCCAACTTCATTCTCCTCCTCGCCTTCAATCAATCCAAAGGAAGGCCTTGGCCAAGCTACTTGATCGATCCACTGTCCAGTGGGAAGCCCCGGCCAATCGAAAGGATAATGGCTAGGGTTGCCTGCCCATAGGGTAGCCATTCGGGCCGTGGCAGTCCAGCATGGAGCATTGGTGAACAGAGCCCAAGCAAAGGCTTCATCACTTGCAGTGCGCGCCATCCAGGTTAGATCGAGAGATGGTGGAGAAGCCGGCACTAAAAGGCGGCCAGAAACAGGACTAGCAGCAGACATCAATTCGCATCCTGGTTCGGTCCATGCGGCCTCGGTTTCGGAGTCTATCGGCCAAGTGTCAATGCAGTGGACAAGAGCGCGCAGAAGGGATTGCTGAGTTTCCTGGAGCAGAACATATAAATTCGAAAGGGAAACTATATTTATCGTGATAAAGTGTGCCTATGTCTAACTTAAATCTAACAGGAAGTGTTAAATATCTTTAGTGGTGGAGGGAGGAATACTCGTCGACTGCGTCAACATGAATATAATATAAAAGCTAAAAGGCTGCAGTACAACGA